TACCATGACTCCCAAGTCTTTTTCACATTCTGTATGACCAAGCTCTACTTCACCTAGATTATAGCTTCGAGGGTTACTTTCATTACCAAGGGCAAGTACCTTACACTTATCCACATTAAACTTCATCTGCCATTTCTCAGACCAAGACATTAATTTGTTCAAATCGTCCTGGAGTTCATTGATATCCTCCTCAGAGTGAATTATACGGCCTATCTTTGTATCATCAGCAAACTTACTCATGTCACTAGTAATCCCTTCATCAAGGTCATTAATGTAAATTATGAACAAAAGAGGGCCTAAAACTGATCCTTGTGGAACACCACTAGTGACTAATCCCCATTCAGATTTCACTCCATTAATGGTAACTCTCTCTTTCTATTGGTAAGCCATGCCTCAATCCATGCTAGAACTTTACCTCCTATACCATGAGCTGCCACTTTTCTAAAAGTCTCTTGTGAGGTACTCTGTCGAAGGCTTTACTAAAATCCAAATAAACAATATCATTTTTCCTTATCACTGTCAACTGCCTCAAATGTTCTATTTAAGAACGTCAGTAAGTTTGTCAGGCAGGAACGACTCTCGTGAATCCATGCTGAGATTTATTTATCAAGTTATGCTCTTCAAGGTGACTTCTGATAATGTCAGCTATAATTGATTCTAATAACTTGCCCACTATTGATGTCAGGCTTATTGACGGAATTTTAAGGAGTGGACTTATCCCCTGATTTGAATATAGGAACCACATAGCCATCTTTCCACATCTCTGGCACAACACAGGTAAGGATGGACGCATTGAAAAACACTCGTTAATGGCTGACTAAGCTCCATCTTGCATTCCTTAAGTACCCTTGAAAACAACTCATCGGGTCCGGGGGACTTATTTTGTTTCAGTTTGTCTATCTGTTTAATAACCATGTCCCCCGTGACAGTAATATTAGTTAACTTAAATTCATCAGGAACTAAATAATTGTTAATTACTGGAATCTCATTTACATCTTCCTGTGTAAAAACTGACAAAAAATAGTCATTAATAAGGAACACATTTCCAGTTCATTATCCGTCAGCTGTCCATTCCCAGATTTCAGAGGTCCTACTTTTTCCTTCACCTTCGTCCTATACACTTGAAAGAACCCCTTTGGATTAGTCTTTGATTCATTAGCAACTCTAATTTCATAGTCACGTTTAGCCTTTCTAATCGCCTTTTTTTACTTCTCTTTTAAGCTGAACATATTGGTCAGTAAGGTTAACCCTCTCCTCTTCTGATGCGCCTATAAATTCCCTTTTCTCCCCTAATAGATGTTTTAGCCTCCTGTTAACCCATTTGGAATCGTTATTATTAGACCTAATTTCTCTCTGGGGAATGTATATACTCTGGTCACTGTGTACATTATTAAGAAAACAATCATAAAAGCAGATCCCTTCATATTCATAAGTATGATTATCGTCAATAAAATCATTAGCTAGATAACCCCAATCAAGATTAGACAGATGTTCCCTAAGTCCATTATAATCGGCAGAACGAAAATCGGGGATTTTTACTGTATTATCATTATTCTTGCATTCCCAATTAATGCTAAAGGGTGATGGATTTTGTGATCACTTGCGCCAAGCTCTTCAGTGATCTCCAGATTATTCACGAGTGTTTCCTTATTTGACAAGACTAGGTCTAGCAAATTATTACCCCTGGTAGGTTCAGTTACACTCTGTTTCAGAAAACAGTCCTGAACTGTTTCCATGAAGTCACTGGACTCTAGATTACCTGTCAAAGAATTCCAGTCAATTTGGCTAAAGTTAAAGTCCCCTACTATGACTACGTTTCTGTGTCCAGAAGCCCTAACAATTTCGTCCCAAAGAAGTCCCTCTATCGTGATCCAAGCCTGGAGGTCGGTATATTACCCCTAGAATTAGTTTTTCTTGACCCTCCACGAACTCTACCCAAACAGACTCTGTTACTGCTCCATCTATTTTTATACCTGTTTTTATGCAACAATTAATATTTTCTCGAACATACAATGCAACTCCTCCCCCCTTCCCATTACATCTATCCACATTGAATAACTTAAATCCCTGAATATTACACTCAGCAGTCATATCCCGACTCTTTAAATCATACCACGTTTCAGTTAATGCAATGATATCAAAGTTCCCAGCACATGCTACCAAACGTAGTTCATTAATTTTATTTCTTGCACTTCGACTGTTAGCATAAAATACCATCATATGTTTTTCTTCTGCACATTTTTCCTATTCATCTTTGTTTTCACACAATTTCTGAAATTATCATTACCCAGAGTTACTCCATGACAGTTACTATTAAGATTCTTAATATCAGAGCATAAGTCAACATATCCATACTCATTATTAATCATTTCTAAACCCATACTCTAACTAATCCTAGTTTAAAGTCCTAACAACCCCCTCAACTGAGTTAGCAAGAAAACCCACACCTGCCCTGGATAAGTGAACCCCATCCCTGGCATACATGTCATTTCGGCCATAGAAGTTGTCCCAGTTGTCAATGAATGGTACTGCATTATCCTTACAGTGTTTATCCAGCCAACAATTAATACCAATTGCTCTGGACAACCATTCATTACCAACACCTCTTCTTGGAAAAATGCCACATATAACAGGGCGCCCCCCCTTCTTCCTAATCATGTCTATAGCTGTCCTGAACTTTCTAACTAAATCCTCACTTCTACGCTTGCCTACATCATTGCCTCCAGCACTGAGGCAAATAATAGGATTGATCCCATTACTGTTCATGATGTTGTCAAGCCGGCTAACAATGTCCTCCATCCCAGCCCCAGGAAAGCATACCCTTTGTCTCCTACTCCTGTCCTTCAAGCAGATGCCCTATCCATGTATCTAACCTGGCTATCCCCAACAACAACAATATTCTTACCTTCCTTGTTGTCGTTCGTCGTGACGATCCCAGTAGTAGACTCACATTCGTCGGGTAGCACGAGAATGCGTTGGGGTTTCCACGGGAGTTTCCACAGCAGTCTCTTTCTTCTTCATCGTTTCTGGCTTTCCATTCGTCTTCTTGATCGTCAACTTCGTCGTCCCCTGCTGTCCAGCCACTGACCACGATCCCTTCTTGACCTGAGGACTCGAAACAGGAGGACTACTACGAATCCTCTTGTTTTCCTCGGTCAATCGCCGTATCTCCATCTTCGCTGCCCTCAATTCTTCCTTAAGTTGCTGGTAAAGTTGCTCGATGGAGGGCATCTTGGTTCAGTCCACGGGAGCAAACAAGACACTTCTTCACAGAGTTAAGTATAGGCCCCTTTTTCCCCACTAAAGTTCATGTCTCCCTTCAGGCCTCTAACATTCATTCCTCTATTATTTCAGTTACTGTCTACCAGAACAGCATTTGCTTTCATTCCTCTGTTCTTACTGTTACTGTCCATCAGGACAGCATCTTCATCAGGGACGATAGCACCATCTGGCCCAGACTTTTTGTTTTCCCATCTGTTATAGTATGCTGTCAGGTTTTCTATGAAGGCCGTGATTTTATTCGACAGTTCGATCTCATTTGGGCATACCTAAAAACACTTCCCTGGTTTAATATATCTTGTAGATGATTCCTGAATATCTGCACAAGATGCGTGGGCCCATTTCCCACAAAAGTTGCACATAATCCATGCAGTAACCCGTTTGTTTATTTGGTTGTAGACTACACAGGATTTCATGATGTGATTTGATTGTTTTTTTTTTACTGTATGTTCTACTAATAACCTCCTTAAAGTATAGATCTATTTATTTGCATTGTATCTATTTGTATTTGTATGTGCATGTGTTTGGGACAATCTTATCATTCTAGTAGTTATTGTTTGGGTGTTTGATAAGGGCACGTAAAGCCCCATCAGCTTATGAATCTGGTCAGAGGATACCTTATTTTTTCAACGAATCCGTTTGGATGTTAAGGGCACCTAGAAACTCTTTCAGCTTTTTAACCAGTCATTGGTTCACTTATTTCTTGGATGAATCCGGACGAATCCGGTCAGTGGATCACTTATTTTGAACGAATCCGGTCGGTGATTTTGGACTAGCTCATGAAAAAACTACTGGAATATTATTCAGTAGAGTAATATGTTTCAGTTTGATACAGAAAGTATAACTTGCATATTGAAAAACCCGGTGACTTCTGACAGCTGCTACTATGACGAGCGGCTGGAGATATCTGACACCCTTTTTTACCGCCTGAATTTTTGGACATTCCACACTACTGGTTTTTACTGGTTATTAGCTACAGCAACACTGAAAACGTTTGTGGATAATAGATGATTTTATGTTGGTATAAACATTCACTGACAACTCGACACTGTTTATCGTATTTCTACAAAGCTGTACACTTTTCGTATTTCCTCAAGATTGTGCACCTTTTCGCATTTCAATAGGATTTTTTTGCGCAATGGTATCACTAGATTACAGGTCAGGTACACTAGCAGGTTTAGGAAGATTATTAATACGAGCTGACCTGCGTGGTAGGATCCTGGCAACTGTTTACAACATGAACCTATCTCTTTAGGCCTAACGCTTCAGCCTTAATTTTCACCATAGCATTTATTATGGTATCTTATTTATACACTACGGTACAACTGTGATATACACTATACCACAGTGTATGACACTATTATCAGGGGAGACTTTCCTCTCTCAAAATTGTTCTAATATTTTTGTTATTTGCATATGGCTCTGCTGTGGTACTGCACTATTTCTCCTTTTTTGACTCGGTGTATACTATTTTCTGTTTAATTAGTTACAAGTGCTGGAGGAATGTACCTTGTAAGTTCACTGGCACACGCAAGAGAGACCGTGATAATCACGAAGAACACCGATCACGGCGGAGCATGGAGCTCTGGAGAAACTGTCTAAAGCAGTTTTCAAAGCAAATTAGACATACATGAGTGGAAATGGTTGGCTGTCCTTAGTCTTCTTATTATGAGCCAGTAGAAATTATGCTATATTTTAATATTGTTATGTTGGTATTGCAGGTAAGGGAGCGCTGCACGAGGCTGCATGGCTGGGTAATACCCGGGTTGTTAAGACATTGCTGGACCACCATGCTGACGTCTCCGCTGTGGATAATAACGGTACTGTGTTCTCAAGTCTTCTTTATTTGCATTCTTGATTCTGTTTGCCTGGTCTTAACCTTCTCTATTTGGTTTTAGGTTAGGTGTGCATCGGATGCCCAAGAACTAGAGCTCATTTACCACGAGCACTACTATCAGGTGTACTGGCAAGGATAACCTTCATGAGGTAAATAAAGGTTATGGCTATCACCGGCGGAGTTACTCGTGTTGGACAACAAGACTTTGACTGAACGTGATGAAGAGAAGTATAAAAAACTTTTTGAGGAAAAGTTAGATGATAATCATAATGAATCTTCTGAACTTGAACCTAGCTAAATAATGAGCCAATACTGTTATTATCTAAAAGAAGACAACACCGTTTACATAGAATGAATCGCATTCAGTACATATTTTGCCTGCTGTATGCATTGTAAGAGAATCGTGTGAATAAATCAAGAAAATGGCCGAAACAATAAATGGAGGTTAGTATATTAATAACGAATAGAGGGAATTGATGAGACTGTGCATCCGTCATCACTGCTGATCTTGCTACTGGCAAGACACAGTTCGCTCGATTCCCGCTGGAGAGGGGAATTTATATTCCACGAGCGCCACCTCCTCTCTCACAGTGCTGTTGCAACGTGTGAAAATCAAGACTGTGAATGGAGTAATCAATGACTCCGCGAAGCTAGCTTTAGCTACCGCCGTTAGGATGTGCCTGCAGGTCAAATTTACGGCAATCCACTCTCTGAAGGACTGCTTCATTGTCGTCTGCACAGACGACAATGAAGCTTCAAAACTAATGGACGACTCTTCAGTCAAGACACCACAGTTCACAATATCCCCGTCTCCATTCTTGAAGTCGAAACGTTCAGTCTTTGTGAAAAGACTGGACAAGATCGTCACCTCTCTCTCTGTCTTTACTGAAGCTCTGAAGACATCTGAAGAAGAATAAAACACCTGGGCCTCATCTATGCTAGAGATTATATTCTCAGACTTCTCCATGGCTGCCCAAACTCTCTCTGACGGTCTGGCCTTCTCTTATTACCACATTCACCCAAGCCATATAGAACCAGAACGTTTCACACATACCTCCCACTGCTGGACCTACTACTCCTATAATCACACCACCAAGGACTGTCCCATCAAGGATAAGAACTTTTGTTCAAAATGTAGGAATGATGGACACGAATTCAGATCCTGCACCATCACTACGGCTCCAACATGTCTTAATTGCAGCTAACTGCCCACTCAGGAAAGAAATCACATTGAAGAAAATTAAAGAAGATCTGAAGGAGAACACCTCCAATTCACCGACATACGCTGCAATAGCCAAACTACAAGCTGACACCACCAAGATTCTACACGCCACTCTACTGACACCTTCGCCTAGCAACTCTCTCCACTTCCCGACGGTGCTTCCTGCATGGTGTATGGCATTTTCAACACCACTATTAACGAACTATTCCGTCTGAACAACATGCCTGCTTTCAATATCCCGAACTCCACAGTTTCAGCTGACATCCTTAAGATCCCTCCCAACCTCGTGAACTTTACTGCACCTGCAGACGTGTTTCCTGCCCGAGCAACTGCTCCTTTAATAATAATAATAATATATCTTTTTTTCTACACGTACAAGATATACAGACCATAGCTGAGATCAATGACATACTACTATATAGAAAGCCGCTTGTTATGCAGAGCATTTCGGGCAAATTAGGTCAGTTTTGTCCCAAGATGCGACCCACACCAGTCCACTAACACCCAGGTACCCATTCTACTGATGGGTGAACATAGACAACCGGTGTAAGGAAATACGTCCGGTATTTCTACCCCTTTGCCTGGAATCGAACCCGGACCCTCGCCGTGTGAAGCGAGAGCTTTTCCCACCAGGCCACGGGGCACCATTTCCACCACCGACAACAATGAGCATGCTGCCTCAACCACCGTCTCCCACACCCCCCAACCTGCTGTTACCCCACCATTACACCTCTCCACTGCTCCTGTCGACCCTCAGTCACCTGCTAACACCATTGTAGACTCCCCAAATGTATCCACTTTAGAAGAAGATAGTGACGACTCCAGTAAACCCTCATGGGAAAACCTTACCTTCTACACCATACCTTCTGACACCATACTTGTACTGAACTCTACAGAGGCCTAAGTGCTGGAACAGTCAATTATGCCTGTGAATCACCTCTTCACTTCACACTAACCCAAGTTCTTGAGATCATCAGGCCTCTGTTTCACCTTCAGTAACAGAAGTAGCTTCTAAAAGTTTGAAAATGGCTCCTCCGCAAACCTGCCACCTCAGTTACTCCTATAATTAGCACCTGTGTGCTGCCTTCTGATATACCTACCTGCCTACCCTCTCTTGCGACCTCAACTACCACGAGATCGATGCATACACAGCTGCTCTTCCTGTTTTCTCCAAGTTCGTCTCAAGAGCGCCTAGTAGCTGGGTTAAGTCCTGGCTCTTTTTCTTCGACTGTGGACACTCCTCTCCACCGCTATTCTTCGTCCATCTCATCTTCCCAGCTCACCCCACACGGGGTTTTCTCAGCTCACCCCACTTGGGGTCTTCCCACTTTACCCCACATGAGGTCCTCTCAGCTCACTCCACATGGGGTTTTCCCAGCTCACCCCACATGGAGTCTTCCCAGTTCACCCCACATGGGGTCTTCCCAGCTCACCCCACATGTGGTCCTCCCAACTCACCCCACATGGGGTCTTCCCAACTCACCCCACATGTGGTCCTCCCAACTCACCCCACATGGGGTCTTCCCAACTCACCCCACATGTGGTCCTCCCAACTCACCCCACATGTGGTCCTCCCAACTCACCCCACATGTGGTCCTCCCAACTCACCCCACATGGGGTCTTCCCAACTCACCCCACATGTGGTCCTCCCAACTCACCCCACATGTGGTCCTCCCAACTCACCCCACATGTGGTCCTCCCAACTCACCCCACATGGGGTCTTCCCAACTCACCCCACATGGGGTCTTCCCAACTCGTGGGTATAATTAATCATAAGGAGAGTATTTGAATTATTGAAACAATTGTGTAGTTATCGCACTATATTTTTGGACCTTCAGAATGCAAAGAATATGAAGTTAGTGAATATAATTGCAAAGTTCTTTAAAAAAAACTTCTCAATGACCAAGTTGATTTGTAGGTCATTATAATAACCACTTTGTATATATTTGTTTTAAGAGGCAAGTAACGTCCTGCTGCAGAAATGGAAAAAAAGACGAGGATTATACTATTGTAAATATTGTGTCAGGATTGTTTGGTTATTAAAGTCCACTATGATCTTGGGTGTTACAAAAATTATACAGTGTATATTTAAGACAGAGTAAAAATAGAAAGGTTCCAGACTGTGCATATACAAAGACATGATATATCGTACAGGGTTTTGTGTTCCTGTCAAGAATATGTGAAGACTGTAGTAACTGTGACGGTGTTTTAACATGATGCGGGATGACAGTTATGATGACAGTTATGATGGCAGTTATGATAGTGATGACGACAGTAATGATGGCAGTTATGATGACAGTTATGATGACAGTTATGATGACAGTAATGATGGCAGTTATGATGACAGTTATGATGACAGTAATGATGACAGTTATGATGACAGTAATTATGAGTTATGACAGTTATAATGACAGCAATGATGACAGTTATGATGACAGTAATGATGACAGTTATGATGACAGTTATGATGACAGTTATAATGACAGTAATGATGACAGTTATGATAGTGATGACTGACAGTTATGATAGCAATGATGGCAGTAATGATGACAGTAATGATGACAGTTATGATGACAGTTATGATGACAGTAATGATGACAGTTATGATGATATTGATGACTGACAGTTATGATAGCAATGATGGCAGTAATGATGACAGTAATTATGATTTATGACAGTTATAATGACAGTAATGATGACAGTTATGATGACAGTTATAATGACAGTAATGATGACAGTTATGATGACAGTTATGATGACAGTAATGATGACACTTATGATTACAGTATTGATGACAGTCATTACGAGTTATGACAGTAATGATAAACAGTTATAATGACAGTTATGATAACAGTAATGATGACAGTAATTATGAGTTATGACAGTAAAGACGATAGTTATAATAACAGTAATGACGACAGTTATAATGGCAGTAATGATGATAGTTATAATGACAGTAATGACGACAATTATGAAGACAGTAATGACAGTAATGATGACAGTAATGACAGTAATGATGACAGTAATGATGACAGTAATGATGACAGTAATGACAGTTATGATGACAGTAATGATGACAGTAATGACAGTAATGATGACAGCAATGATGACAGTAATGACGACAATAATGACAGTAATTACGGCAGTAATGATGACAGTAATAATAGTAATGATGACAGTAATGATGACAGTAATGATGACAGTAATGATGACAGTAATGACGACAGTAATGATGGCAGTAAAGACAGTAATGACAGTAATGATGACAGTAATGATGACAGTAATGATGACAGTAATGATGACAGTAATGACGACAGTAATGATGGCAGTAATGACAGTAATGATGACAGTAATGATGGCAGTAATGACAGTAATGATGACAGTAATGACGACAGTAATGATGACAGTAATGATGACAGTAATGATGACAGTAATGACGACAGTAATGATGACAGTAATGACGACAGTAATGATGACAGTAATGACAGTAATGATGACAATAATGACAGTAATGATGACAGTAATACGACAGTAATGACAGTAATGACGACAGTAATGATGACAGTAATAATGACAGTAATGACGACAGTAATGATGACAGTAATAATGACAGTAATGGCGACAGTAATGATGACAGTAATGATGACAGTAATAATGACAGTAATGATGACAGTAATGATGACAGTAATAATGACAGTAATGGCGACAGTAATGACAGTAATAATGACAGTAATGGCGACAGTAATGATGACAGTAATGATGACAGTAATAATGACAGTAATATTTGGACAGTTCTCAACATTAGAGGGAAGACACTACATAATCTGTTATCATGATATCCTACATAATCTGTTATCATGATGTTATCCTACATAATCTGTTATCATGATGTTATCCTACATAATCTGTTATCATGATATCCTACATAATCTGTTATCATGATGTTATCCTACATAATCTGTTATCATGATGTTATCCTACATAATCTGTTATCATGATGTTATCCTACATAATCTGTTATCATGATATCCTACATAATCTGTTATCATGATGTTATCCTACATAATCTGTTATCATGATGTTATCCTACATAATCTGTTATCATGATATCCTACATAATCTGTTATGATGTTATCCTACATAATCTGTTATCATGATGTTATCCTACATAATCTGTTATCATGATGTTATCCTACATAATCTGTTATCATGATGTTATCCTACATAATCTGTTATCATGATGTTATCCTACATAATCTGTTATCATGATATCCTACATAATCTGTTATCATGATGTTATCCTACATAATCTGTTATCATGATGTTATCCTACATAATCTGTTATCATGATATCCTACATAATCTGTTATGATGTTATCCTACATAATCTGTTATCATGATGTTATCCTACATAATCTGTTATCATGATGTTATCCTACATAATCTGTTATCATGATGTTATCCTACATAATCTGTTATCATGATGTTATCCTACATAATCTGTTATCATGATGTTATCCTACTTACTAACAATTTTTTGATAATTTCACTGCACCTCTTAGTCACATCCGGTAATTATTCCTCACCAAATACACACACACACACACACACACACACACACACACACACACACACACACACACACACACACACACACACACACACACACACAAAGATTGTTCCTGTAAGTCTTTCTATTTAACAAACTAAAAAAAAATATCTACGATCATCTTAAAAATAGTTCCCCTTTGAGTTGGGTTAGGTTACTCTCAGTGGTTAATAATAAAATTTTGCACTACCCACAGGCCAGACGCCTCTTCACTACGCTGCGGAGCTGCAGAATGCCAGGGTAACTAAGATGTTGCTAGCCAGACATGCTGATGTGCAAGCCACAGATAATGAAGGTACACTATATTCTTTTTAACTTCTTCTTTCATCCTATTTCATATTTTCACTTTTCTTGTTTACGTTGGCACGTGGCCTGGTGGCTAAAGCTCTCGTTTCACACGCTGAGTGTGTCAGGTTCGATTCCCGGCCAGGGTAGAAACATTGGACGTGTTTCCATATACGCTTGTCTATGTTCACCCATCAGTAAGTTTGGTACCTGAGTGTTAGTGGACTGGTGTGGGTCGCATCCTGTGTGTTAGTGGACTGGTGTGGGTCGCATCCTGGGTGTTAGTGGACTGGTGTGGGTCGCATCCTGGGTGTTAGTGGACTGGTGTGGGTCGCATCCTGTGTGTTAGTGGACTGGTGTGGGTCGCATCCTGGGTGTTAGTAGACTGGTGTGGGTCGCATCCTGTGTGTTAGTGGACTGGTGTGGGTCGCATCCTGTGTGTTAGTGGACTGGTGTGGGTCGCATTCTGTGTGTTGGTCGACTGGTGTGGGTCGCATCCTCTGTGTTGGTGGACTGGTGTGGGTCGCATCCTGTGTGTTAGTGGACTGGTGTGGGTCGCATCCTGGGTGTTAGTGGACTGGTGTGGGTCGCATCCTGTGTGTTAGTGGACTGGTGTGGGTCGCATCCTGTGTGTTAGTGGACTGGTGTGGGTCGCATCCTGTGTGTTAGTGGACTGGTGTGGGTCGCATCCTGTGTGTTAGTGGACTGGTGTGGGTCGCATCCTGGGTGTTAGTGGACTGGTGTGGGTCGCATCCTGTGTGTTAGTGGACTGGTGTGGTCGCATCCTGTGTGTTAGTGGACTGGTGTGGGTCGCATCCTGGGTGTTTAGTGGACTGGTGTGGGTCGCATCCTGGTTGTTAGTGGACTGGTGTGGGTCGCATCCTGTGTGTTAGTGGACTGGTGTGGGTCGCATCCTGGGGACAAACTAACGTAATTTGCGGGAAATGCTCAGCACAACAAGTGACCTTCTATATAGCAGAATGTCATTGATATCAGCTATGGTCTGTATACCTTGTACATGTACTGGTATACCTTGTACATGTACTGGTATACCTTGTACATGTACTGGCATACCTTGTACATGTACTGGTATACCTTGTACATGTACTGGTATACCTTGTACATGTACTGGCATACCTTGTACATGTACTGGTATACCTTGTACATGTACTGGCATACCTTGTACATGTACTGGTATACCTTGTACATGTACTGGCATACCTTGTACATGTACTGGTATACCTTGTACATGTACTGGCATACCTTGTACATGTACTGGCATACCTTGTACATGTACTGATATACCTTGTACACGTACTGGTAGTAAACAGACTATTATTACTAATATTTTTACTCTTTTCTGTAGGATAATACATGTAGCTAATAAGCTGAACTTGCCAAATAGGCAGAACTTCCTTAAAAATTAAACTTTACCAAAAAATTTTAGTACAGAATAGACATTATTAGTATTAAAGATTCGCCGGTATTCTCCCGGCCCGGGAGAATACCGGCGAAATTCTGCTAAATAAAATGCGTTAGTATAAATGAGTTAGTCTTTGACCAAAAATAAAAATCTTTATATAATGATCAATAAATAAAAATATCTATCATTCACATGGGCACCATGCCCAGCCCTTCAAGGGTAGGGTAGGTGCCTGAGCCCGAGCTTGTGGCTCACAACACTGTCAGCCCCTTCAGCCCCCTTGGGGCGGGGATGGCAGACCAGAGAGGCCTAGCTTGTGGCTAGGCCTGGGGTAAAGTTTAATTTTTAAGGAAGTTCTGCCTATTTGGCAAGTTCAGCTTATTATATATATATATATATATATATATATATATATATATATATATATATATATATATATATATATATATATATATATATATATATATATATATATCGTAGGTAAACTTTAATATAAATATTAGTTTAAATCAAAGATATGTATTTGTTCGTTACCCTCAGATATAATTTATCAGAGATATATAAGTTTATAGGACAAACTACCCAATTCGACTTAAATGGCACGATGTAAAACAAGAAAGTTAAAAGTAAACAAAGTTAAGAGAAAGATGATGACGGATCAAACAAGTTAGGTGAAGAAAAACTGGATGTCACACTGGAGGGAGTATGGAAGAAGTGAATGTTTTTATATTTTATTAAAAAAAAAACAGTATACATGTATGGTATACATAATTGATTTAAAACACAGTATACATGTATGGTATACATAATTGATTTAAAACACAGTATACATGTATGGTACATAATTGATTTAAAACAAAATACGTGAAGCATTATATAAGACAACAACATATATATAACTAAACAGAGGACTACCTGAACATACCTTAAACACAAAATAACTGTATAACCAAAACCTGACACTCTGTTCATATTGTGTATAAAATTTTATTATTATTATTATTATTAAAGATTCGCCGGTATTCTCCCGGCCCGGGCTTTTCCCAAGTGGTGGCCCGGCCTTGGCTCCCTCTTTAGGGAGTGTCTGAGACCTAAGTCTCCCATGGGAGGAGGCACAAGTACCTCCTTATCTTTGGGACCAACTGTCCCCAGGCCTAGCCACAAGCTAGGCCTCTCTGGTCTGCCATCCCCGCCCCAAGGGGGCAAATGGGAATGACAGTCTTATGAGCTAAAGGCTCGGGCTCAGGCACCTACCCTACCCTAGAAGGGTTAGGCATGGTGTCGATCTATATAAAATTTTATATACAAAAACAATATCATATAAACTAATACATTGCGCACTCCATGGTACAAATGGTTATATAAAATAACTATCAGAAACCTACATGACTCTTGAAGTTGAAACATGGTGTTCTTTATTTTTGTTTTTGTATATAATGAAAATGGAATCAAAATATGCAAAAAGCCCTTAATAATTAACCCAAGACTTTTACAGATCCAACATGTATGGTTACATATGAGGAAACACTGAGACACCTAATACCCCGACCAACCCCATATTTAGTTTCTTAAACTAATTATAAACCCACAAAAAATATACCTTGCTTGTATACAGTGATATTAGTAAAGGTGCTTAATTGAACATCAACTGACTATGTGCACCACAAATGATAAAAAAAAATACATGTGATATCACTGGGTGACAGAGCAACATATTATCCCACAAAAGCTGCTGCCCAAGGAACTTGAATGTCCAAAGATTACAATATAGGATATTATACATCTCAACCCCCCTCCTCACAGTGGTGACCGCTACTACATATACAAAACAATCTTAGGCAAATTAAACTTTTTGCCCTTCATCAAAAGTTTACAATCATCACCAAAAGGTCTGCTTATGAACATTCCCCTTGAAGGCCACGAATGACTAAAGGCTTACAAATGACTAAACAAAACCTAACGGGAATCTCAGGAAAGACCCAACATACTTCACCAAACCCCAGCCATAGTCGGGAACCGGTTCAGTCTTGCAAGAGGCTGGAACATATATTGAAATATTGCTTTTTATCTGTATTATCGAGATGCATGACCATTTTAGGATTAATCCAGGATCTCAGTTCCACACAACGCCACATCCATACACACACAGACGCATGGAACCATTCATAATACATACACGTCACTCACTAAAACCCGCCTTCTACTCTGAAGTCCCCAACCCACCGTTTGGTGCTACCACGGGGGGAGTCCAGCCCCCCGTTGCCTTACCCCACCCGCAGTTGCAGCAACCTTTGAACAGTAAGACTTCGATAGTTTGCAGGAAAACTATTATCCCAACTTCTACCATATATGAGTTTATTTCTGCAATACGTTCTGTAGAGGCCTGCCGCAATTGCCCTGATCCTAACTAATCATCCCCCGGTTTCCCGCATACTCCACGAGATACAGAGGAAATCAGCCACCACGTACATTATTGCTTTTCGTACCTCACTTGATACTCCGCTAACGTCCAATGTTAAGGCCCGTAAGGTTGAGATACTTTCCCCACTAAGAAAATCGAAAACCCGCCCAAACCACGAACGAACTTTGTCCAAGGTATCACAAAAGTAGACAGCATGAAAAGCTGTTTCTTCTAGACTGCAATGTAAGCAATCTGCCTCCCTTACCAAACCCATCCTATTTAAGACCGATTTTGATGCTAAAATCCCCATGACAAATCTGTACACCAATTCACGAACCCTTGGTGCCAACTTAAGTTTACAAAACCCTCCCATATTTCCCCCCAATTATACAGCGGAAAAACAGACAATCCCTGAACAATTTCCCCACGATAACATATTCTGACAATTTGCTCCACCCTGATCCGTTGCACATTTCTCAACTTTAACAACAAATGCAGCATGTCTTCACACTCGATTAATCCCCTGCTGCTCCACCATTTACGCATTTCGATCATTACCCGACCCACCCGGATGCCCTTCTCACCGCCCGCCCTGAAGAACCGCTGCTTTACATAGAGGGCCTTCACCCGTGGCCCCAAAGCCAAGAGACCTAAACCCCCACGACGAACATGGGTCATGACAACCTCCCGACTTAACCAAGCACTCCCGAAACCCCAAACATAATGTAAGACCTTTCTCTGCAGTTCCTGAATATCCACGTCTCTTAAAGGGTACACCTCAGCCACATCCCATACCTTACTATAAACAAGTGTATTAACCACTACTGTCCTCTGTTGCAATGAGACATCCCCAGCTCGTAACCCCGGAAGTCGATCTAAAGCCTTGTTAACCACCAATTCAGAGTTTACCCTTCGGCCCTCCCTCTCATCTGCCATGTACACGATACCACATATTCTAAGTTGCACCACGACTGACCACCCATACCTTTCGCCCAAACCCCCCCCCCCCACCCCACCCATGTACCCACCTCCAATAATTTCGATTTTGCCTTTTTGATGCACATGTCAGACTCTGCCCCAAAAAAACCAACAATCCATCCCACGGTCTGCAAATCCTCCTCCCCTTTTAACAAAATCGTGGTATCATCTACGTACCCGACCACACGCGCTGCATGGTCACTGCTCA